TTCTGATTTAGCAGAAAAAAATAACCTATGTGCTACTAAAGGTGAGAGGATTAGGATCCTAATTTCCTGAAAATCTCTAGTACTTCATTTCTCATAGAAAGTCAAAGTGGAATTGAAAATAGGTTGTCAGCTAGACAACTAGATAAAGTTGTTACAATTTCCGTGAAGATAAATATAAAATGAAAAATTACTAAACTCCTGTACCAAAGGATTTTTTGTTTCAAACCAACTTTATTTATCCCTTAGATGAAAAGGTTTTTAAGAGTTTCAAATTAATTCAACTGACAGAGGTGTTTTGCCTAAATCAGTAGCATTGTAGACTTGAAACTGTTTGTAGATAGGTATTTATTCTCCTCTAAATGTTGTAGGTAGGGAATTATTTTCCTTTAAAGGAATTTTATATTAATATTTAAGGGAATCTTGCAACTTCTGTTCATTAATTGTAGAATATGCCCAAGTGCCTATGAAAAAAATGATAATGGTATTGATATTTCATCCTGAAGGGTCTCAAAACAATTTACAGATTGGTAGTATAACCACGCTGAAATGCACCCAGCTTCTTGGTGGAACATGGCAGCTGTTTAATAGCCCATAGCAAAACTATACAACAGCAGGTTGTGGAAAAAAGAGATGAATATGGATCAAATAAAAATTGGCAGTGGAGGATTTAGGTACTGTACTCAAATTAAAATTAGGTGAAGTGGAATTCCGCTAGAATATTGAGTTTGTTGTATGAAGTGCTACACTTTATCTGACCACAGCTCCTAGTACAAGGACCTGTGGTTAGCCCATGTGAAAGACAGGCAGAGGACTGTATGCTGAAATGTAATCCCTGATGTATACTGTAGACCAGTGTGTTTGACAAACAAATCTGATTGTGAATACTTTGCTGTTCACACTTGCGGAGGGGTTTATTAAAAACATTTGATGTTAAAAGGGGTGCCTGAGGGGGTTCTTGGGCAGATGTGGCAATAGGTTTTGATGGGGGTGGCAAAAGTTTTGGCTTGACTACTTAGTTTTAGTAATTACTTTTTAAAGAAAACTGAATGCTACTGGAGAAGCCTGTGTTGCTAACAGCTGCCCCAGCTGTGATGGCTGAGAGGTGTTTTTTTATAGATGTAGAACATTTATTTGCTAGGAAAAAGAGCAAACCAAGAAAGGCAACAAGATGCTACCAGACAATTCCCTTAGATCACTGTTGGCCTGAGCTGAATTTTGACGTGTGACTGAGGCTGTATGATCTATAGGTCTAGCACATCCCATTGCAACTTCATTTTACCATTTTCCATGTAATACATCAAGATCTGCAAACTTTTTTTCCTCTAGGAAAGTGTATGGAGGTCCAACTGCACCATAGCTCTCTGCAACACGTGCCCAATTTAAAATGAGCAAACGTGACTTGAACAATTTTTCATGTGCTTTAGTTATGCATGTATGTATTTATTTATTTATTTGGATAATTGGGTTTTCCTTCAGCTAAGGAAAAGCTGGTGGTGCTGACATTACAATGTGTTTGTGAAGAAAGACTGATACCACAACACATGCAAGCAACTGCAAGGTCATTACTTACCCAGCATAATTAGAACATCCATTCTGAAGGGGGAAAACATTTAAAAGATAAAGAGTGAATTTAAAAATGATTCTTCCCAATGCATTTTTTTCATAATTATAGTTTTAACAGCTTCTGGTGATGGTAGAAGCAGCTACTTAAGAAAAATTAGAAGCCTTATTCGAGGAAGATGATCCCTCAAGAGACCTTGTGTTGTCATTTCTTAAGAATCGTCAGCAGAAACCTCATTCAGGATGCTGTGTGTTGTTTTGATGTATAGGGGGTATACTTAGCTTATTATGGCCAATGCTGGATATTTTAATTAAAATACACCACAACAGCCACAGATGTATTGTTTTCCCCTTATTCCTCCCCTTGTCTGTGTGCAAAACCACAAGCATACTCCTGCCCCTGAACTGCAAGGAATGAGCACCATTGCAGATAAACAGGAGAGAAGCAGTAGGTTTCCTAAATTCACGTGTGACGTATCTTAGCAAATCTCATTGCAAAAATTCTCATTGCAGCACACAAGCCTTTTGTACTTCTCCGAGTTTTCTGTGGTTGCCAAAGGGAGGTGGAAAATGGAGAGGAAAAACAAAACAAAACAAGCCAACCAGTCACCGCATTTAATTTATGAGCAAGATTATTGTTTTACAAATAACCTTCATGATAAATAAAGTCTCATGGCAGCATTTTCAACCATGCTTTTATCAAGACTCTCTGAGCGCTGTGTGTAATATGCCTGGCAATCGAATCACAGCTGTGTGCCTGGGTAGAGAATCTCTGCGGAGACAACACTTCCTTAATTTAAACAATTGTAGGCTGCAGGAGTTCAAAAATTTCAGCTGACTTTAACTGTCACTAGCCCAAGCACCTTTATCCCCAGGCGAGCAGCAGCAGCTGGATTTCATTTCCTGCTGCCAGACTGTCCGACATCTTTGCTGAACATCCCAGGAACTGAGCGTCTTTACTTTAAGGATTTTATTCAAGGTGACAGCTCCTCACACTTTAGCGTTCAGATCACCTCAAGTAGCTGAGATATCAGTGAAAATGAGAGCACTTCTCCAAGCAAACGCCAAATTTAGATTGACTGAGGTTATCCTTAGGCCTCTAGACCCAGCCTCCACAACAGCACAGGCCTGCCAGTAACTTTAAAACTACAGCGGAGTTTGTAATGATGTCTGGGGAGAAATATTCTGCCGGAGCAGTGGAGGATACTATAAGCGATAGGAAATGATGTCAGATTTAGTTAGGGCTGGAGACAGTGTTAGAATATACTTGGCATAATATGGCACCGGTATCTCTGTCAGCATCTCTGTTTTCTGTCACCGCACACAATCCAGGGCCTGTCTGTAGCCCTGACAGTGTCTTTTCAGATCAGGTTATTGCCAACTTGGAGACTGGCTCAGCGCAGCACCATACAGCCCCCTTTGTTTGAAGTCTGCCCTTTTGTCATTAATGCACTTGATGTCTATTTAAATCTGATGGTGAATGCAGTATCTGTTTTCCTGTCAAGAGATCATTGACAATATTAATACCTCATGTCCTTGCCTCATTTTCTAAGCACTGACACCTAGCTACAGTCTCCAGCATTCATCAAACAGCACTCTCTCACCAGCATCTCTATAAACAGTCTTGCTTCCAGTCCTTAAGAAATGTGGCAGACCTCAAACAAGACTTTTATCAATGCCAGTGAAAAAGGAGTCTGAAGAATGCCATTAATAAACTGTTCGTATCCTTTACATTTAGAGCTCTAAATGGCCTTGTTACCAACCGAATGCCTGCTGCAGTTTGACTTGGAATATCATCTGCTTAGAGGGAAAAAAACCTTGCTTTTCATTAAAGGCTTGTTTAGGAATGATAATATCATCCCTTGAATGTGGAAACTGCTCCACTAGTGAAATTATTGAAATTGAAATTATTGAAGAAAGCTCCGTGGAGAAGGGGAAAGGGATTAGGCACTGCACCATATAGTCCCCATTTGTGTTATCCTGAAGAGGAATGTGTTTTTCACAACAAATGACAGGCCTATCAATTTTTTTTTTCCTATAGGAATGTGTTGCTATCCTGATGTCTTAGAAGGAAAGAGCAGCATGGTTTAACATTAATCTTGCACAGCCCATGCCTTCCAAGGCTTTAGTTGCTTATCTGATGCACGTTATATTGGAAAAATAGATGCAGAATATAAAGGCTTGCATACTTAATTCATACTGCAGGTATTTGCTGCGTGAGTCCTGGCAAGCTAAAACAGCAATGAATTGAGGATCTGCTCCTCCCCCATCTTTACCCTTTATGTAAGGCAGTGTTTGTCTCCTTTGGGCTAGGGTATGTTTGCCCTTATGGGGGTGAGCTAGGTACTTCAGTGACTGCTGTATTAAGACACTCCTGAGGTAGAGGAGACCCTTTCACCTTCCTTCCATGCATGGGAGATGACTTTAATTTGACTATATGTGCCTGAGGGCACAAACAACAACTCTGCTAGTAAAATTTAGCATCTTTGAGGATGTTCACAGGTGGGATGTGACTGTGAACTTACGCTTTCACATACCGCTTAGTACCACCAGAGGGGATGCTTTTGAATAAGGTAGTGTGATCTGCAGGTATGTGTGTCTCACCCACAGCAGTTAAGGCTTCCTCAGGCATCTTGCTGCCTGTACCCACTTAGAATAATGTGCCTTGTCTCCCAAAAGCAGTGTTCTGGCTAATTTTTGAAAACATCCTCTATGTACTAATATTTACCATAATTTATAATTGCATCTGGCTCATAGGATGTTGTTTGGAGACCTACTTTGGAAATGTTTTTACTAGATGTTTATTTGTATGTCTGGGAAAAAAGCTGGAATCTGGAGGGCTAACCGTTAGGAAGTCCCAAGTTCTAGCCCATGTATGTTGGTGACTTCCCATGTAGATTTCAGCTGGTCACTTCAGTTCTCTGCCACTGCAAAGCAGGGATGGCTTTAGGTGCTTGTAGTATGACTTTGTGAACATTTGGAAGGTTTTTCCTGGATCCACATTAAACTGTAACTATTTTCTGCTTTTTTCTTTTTGGTTTTAATCATCAGGAAAACCCTGTAGACATGTAGCAGGGAGATTACAGAGAGTACAAAATGTAACTTCAGCCCAGGCTTTCTGGTTTTCAAAAGCAGGAGAAAGGTACTCTGATTTAAAATACAGTGTATGATGTTTCAGTGTTATGTCATTCCATTTTTGAAGACACTTGTGGATGTATGTTTAACAGGATAGGTCGTGCAGATATTTGAACACGTTTTCCCAGTGGATTCAAAACTGCTGATTGAAATGGTAATACTGAGTATTTCAAATGCACAAACTTTCTTTTGCAGGACAAGAGAAAACTGTTCCCTTCCCTCCTTCAAATTTCCCTAGTTATGTGCTTTATTTGCGTATTATGCCACTGCTGTCCTAATTGTAATTAATTTCCTTTTTATTCTAGGCATTTTGGGAAAATGCCGCTACATTTACTATGGAAAACATTCTGAGGGCAACAGATTCATCCGAGATGACCAGCTATAAAACACAGCGTTGTTCTGTGCCTCTTGAATCCCTCCACAAAAGAAGCACAAATTGCATCTAAATTTTAAGCATGTAACTAAAGTCCTCTAGTGCCTTCTGCTGACTTTGCCAAGCCTGTCAAGATCATCCTTCTATCGTAGTCTGAATAGTCACACAGAGATTGACATGATTGCCTTTAAGCAGGTCCCATCCACCAGTGTGACAGACAGCTGCAGCCGAGCACCCAGCCTGACAGGAGGAGCACCGTGATGGATTGCCTGGTCCAATTGCTGCTTGCAGAAGAGCAGGGGTCACACCTGGGGCTTCAGTGAGCATGCTCTATTGGTTGGCGCCTTAGCACGTTTATCTCCAGCTTGCCTGTTGAGTGAAAGTGGCTGGTGATATCAAAGTGTTTATGAAAGAGCGAGGCTATAATTTCAGATGAAAAAGCCCTTATCTGTTCTTGTTTTTTCCCCTGTGAATTAAGTGCTTGTGTTTCTATCATCTCGTACATGTTTACACAAATCCTTTCACAGTGGTTTTTTTTGTTTGGTGTTATCCCCCCCGAAATGAGCCTAGATGGATCATTTTTTCTTTCAACAGGGAAAAAAATAGATCCTGAAAATATTTTGGCCATGCAAAGTACTATCAATTTGTATAGTTGTTTATATGCAAAGGAAAAGGATTTAAGCAATTTTGCAGACAAACAAAATTTGCTAATTCTTAAATTACATTGCAACATTTACTAACTCTGACCTTCAGAAGAGCAATCATTTTTTCATGCTGTAGAATATTGGCACAGCTTAATTGTATGTACTCGGAAGAAGCCCTCAATTGTGATATTGACAGTGTGTATTATTCCTGGTTTATTGCACAAGATATTCTTAACTTGTACAGAGATTACATTTAGAATTAAATGCTTAAATTTGGAAAGAAAAAAGTGCTTAAATGGAGTGATATAAAATAAGATTGCCACCAGATGGGTATGATTATTCAGAGGGGAAAAAAAGTCAATAAAAGTAACTGGTGGAATTAACATAATTAACAGCTTTACTGATATGTTATAGAGACGAGTTCTGATTAATCCCTTTTGATGTCTATGTAAGAAAACTTATTGTCAAATTTTCAGTAGAAAAAATAAACATGCATGGCATATTTCTGGCTTTTCTAATAAACAGGTTGGACATATTTAGAATCACGAACTTGTTACTGTGAAAAAAAAATCCCAGTATTTCATGCATGTACTGTGTTAAGTGCTGCTAGATACAATGGGATTGGCCAAGGAATATGCAAAAATTTTGGCCTCTGGGCTGTTCCAAACCCATGCATATTGGTCCCAGTTGAGAGTCATCACTGGCTGGTTTTGGCTTGTTTGAAATTACTTGGTGGTCTTTATTCACTTTCCTGGTTGAAAAAAAATGTCAGTTTTCAGAAGTTGCTTACTTTGGGGGGCTATTATCAGCTAGTGTTGCAGGTGGAAGTGAACTGGATATTGAAGCCAATCATGAATTCAGGTTTGAGGGATGAAAAAGAGTGAGACACTGGCAGAGTGACAAAGGAAAGCTTGACACTGCTGCTGAACGTTTTAGGCCTTACTCAGTAAATGGAAACCTTCACACACTCTGAAAGTCTATAATAAATCCTTAACAGGTACTTAAAATCAGTGATGAACATAGAACAATCCAGTTCACACCACCTGTGGTTTAAATTGAGCTCTCTGCTCTTTGCCATACAAATTGGTGTCTGGAAAGCACCTTCTGGCCACTTGTAACACCTCTGCTAATGTTATACATGGCTACAAATGAAATGCCAATTCACATTAGAAGTCCTAGGAGATATTAGATAAAGGAAAACCAGGTCCCTCTTTTTAAAATCAAAAATATCATTAGAAATATTTAGGGCACTTGTCGTCTCTCTTGGTTACCAAAATAACAGCAATCCTAGTTTGTTCCTATCATATTTTCTGTTTTGAAGCCTCCACTCATTTTGGCTATGGCATATTTCAGGCAGCAGGGTTCTGAATGGGGGTGTTTAGAATAACCTAATGTCACTTTCAGTCTGGTTGCATATATGTTCTTGTCCTTATAAAAGGCTTTAACCCTGCCTCAAACAATAAACAGCACTTGCAAACTGACAGCATGATTTTTCCATCTTTATTTTGCTTGTTTACTTTTCCTAATGTCAAAAACATTTGTATCATTTTCAGGAGTGTTTTCTTCCCAGCAAAGCTTTGGAGGCAAAAATATTTTTGGAATGAGATGTGATCAAAGTCTCTTCCATTTTGGCTTTTGTTTTCACTTGGGGGATTATATACCTATAGTTAAATATGGTAAAGCCCTAATTAAAATTTGCTCAAAGGGAATTCACACTAAATGTCACTGATTCTGGAAAATCAAAAGGATAATCTATGAATAATTATTTTATATTACTAATAAGTATTAGGATATTATTTAAAACAAGCATGGATCTTTCTTACTGTTTAATATGTGCAACATTTTATTTTCAGATGTCTTCTGCCAAGGTTCTGTTTTAAGACATGGCAAACTTTTCAAACCTGGGGCTGCTATCTACACTTGGTTCTTTCCTCAGTGGGAACTGCACCTGAATTTCTTAACTGAGTATCATTTAGGATGAAAGTTGCAGTAAAGTAATCTAAGAAGAGATTCCACTCTCTCTCCTTTACTCCCCCTTCTGCATACAAGGCACATATTTCCCTTTCAAGATTAACTAGGCTATTAAAAATGAAAGATTGCCTACAAAGCTATAAGGAATCTAAAATGTGTATCTTTCCAAGGAACCACTGCATTCTTAGTTCTTTGTGTTGTCACAAGACACATTTTGGCCAGCCATGTTACTTGACGGTTAACAAGGTTTGAGATCTGAGGTGTGCTTGAAAAAGTAATCTTCAAATAACATTGTTTTTTAAAAAAAAATCCAAGCTTCCATCTTCTGTTCAGTCGTGTGAGGGCCAGTACTTTGGCTTTTGGCAGACATCACATGTCTTCACAAATGAAGACTAGGAGGTGAATGGTTTTACTAGGAGCTGCCTGTAGTAGCTGTCCTAACTTTGTGTATTGAAAATGTTAATTCCTAACCTTTTAATTAAAAATAAGGAAAAAATCCAAACTACAATATTGAAGGGAAATTTTAAAGATAAATGACCTTCAGTGAAAACCCTACTGTTATGGATACACAGACCTAACTTTAGAGCAAACTGGTTCTAATTGCCTGTGTTGCATGCATGCATAAATGATTTATGGGATTGCTGAAAGTATGTTACCACTGAAACCACTTTTTTCTCCTTTGTTAGGGCTGAGTCTCACAATACTTATTCTAGTATTTGCTTTACTCAAACTGTGAGTCCCTTTGAAGTCAATGTTATTATCCGTGAGAGTTAGGGTTGCTAGTATTGGAAGGCTGGTATGAAGCTCCCTTTTTAATATATCTGTTTCTTTGAGCAAAGCATTACATGATTGCTGAATGTTCAATTCTCACGTCTTCTTTGCAGATGAAAAATCACTACACGTTGGTCTAATGTTGCTCCCATTTAAGTCAGAAGAAAGAAACAAACCTGCCTGTGCTTTTGAAAATTCTTTCTGTAAATTACAGGGTTCACTTGCTGCCAATGGATGTGTTAATATTTTTTATTCTTGCCAACAATATGAGTATGTTGGGAAATGTTTACCCCCAGCAGAACTTTGCTAGATGCAGCCTTTGTGGTGAGGTTCTGAATCAGTCCATTTTATACTGACTCACACTGAGTCTTACCACATATTTCTTCTTTATGTGGTGCGATAGTTTGCACATGAGTCTCTGCTTGCCCAGTTTGGGAAAGCTTATTCTCTTTACTCTGTGTACAACTGTCCGTCTTTCTGCTTTGTTAAATGGTTGGTATATGTGAAAGAAAGAGATGAAATTCAGCTTTCCAGAAGTGTAACCATATAGCCAAGACTGAGGCTGTATCTTTGACACTTAGATTTCTATGTATCCATTTGCAGGTTCAGTCTAGGGAATCTGGCAGTGAATCAGGTGATATGAAGTCAGGGGTCTTGCATGGCTTGCTAGCTGTTGTCCTCTGTTCCTAAAGATGTCTAGCTGTGTCCTTGTCTGCTTCAATTGCCATGTCATTGCTCTTTAAGCAAGTGATGGCACAAAATAAGTAAATGCTCCCCTTTTGTTTCTAAAGTGAAATTTCTGCTTCACTGCTTGCACTATAACAATTGAAATGCATAGTTTGCTTTTGCAGTGTTTTTATATGTACACCTGGTAACCGTTACATCTCACTGGCTAGTCTTTTTCTGCTATTTAGTTAAAATCTGTCTTCTGCATTCCTTTCTGCTCCTAGTACTGGGAGTAAAACAAACCAAACAAGATACGATTGTGAGAAAACAACCATCTAAAGATGTTACTGTGGGACCACGCCTATGCTAACAACTCTGTGTGACAGGTGAACATTCTTATACACAAACACGTCTAAATGGCTTGAAGGACCGAGATGTCTTCTGGTTTGGAGCCTTTTTGGAGTTAGCCTGTGACTGTGAACAACTGATGTAGCCTTTGATTTCCTTACGCCACTCTAGCAGTATTAGGTGATTAGAGAATGTTGTCTTATCTAAAATGAGTTGCTGCTCAATTTACTTCTAATATTATCTGAATAACCTACCAAGATCTTGGATTAGATGAGAGTTAGGCCCAAGAAAAATGGCTTCTTCCAATCATTTATAACCTGTTCTTAAGAAGTCTTAAGAGTATTTTCTGTGGCGTTTGTTATGTGAGAATGTTCAGGATACACCCAGCACTCCTACTTCATCAAAGCTGGTTGAATTAATATATTTTCCAGGTGCAGTACTAAAGCAGCTGAATCTTTCTAAAAGTTACCTTTTAGGTTAGGTGACTCTGATGGACTTGCCCCTGGTGGTGTTGTCAACCTGAAGCTGACCCTTTCTTAGAGCTGCTGACAATTAGATTAAGGTTTCAGATCAGGATTTTCACAAGCCTTCAAGGAGCAGATATTTTTAAGG